GGCAGGAGGATTGCTTGAGGTCAGGAGATGAGCCTGGGTAACATAAAACCCCATCTTTACGACAAAAATAAAAATAAAAAAATTAGCCCGGTGTAGTTGTGCACACTGCATCTGTATTCCCAGCTACTTGGTAGGCTGAGGTGGAAGGATCACTTGAATCTAGGAGGTCAAGGCTGTAGTAAGCTATGATTGCACCACTGCACTTCAGTGTGGGCCACAGATCAAGACCTTGTCTCAAAACAAAACAAAACAAAACATTTAAAAAAAAAAGATCAAAATTGCCAATCTTTAGCTTGACTGACAAAGGAAAAAAGAGAGAAGACTAACATTGTATTAGATGTTCTAACCAACACAAGTAGGCAAGGAAAAGAAATACAAGCCACTTAGACTGGAATGGAAGAAATAAAACTATCCCTATGCACAGATGACGTGTGATCATTATACATACAGAAAATCCTAAAAAAGAATTAACAAAAAACTGATTAGAGCTAATAAACGGATTCAGCAAGGTTGCAGGACACAAGATTAGCATGGAAGAATCCAAAAAAAAAAATAAATAAATAAATAAGAGAACAATCCCATTTACATTGACATCAAAAGAATAAAATACTTGGGAAGAAAATTTAACCAAAGAGGTGCAAGACACGTGCATTGAGCCTGCAAAGCATTACCGAGAAAAGCTAAAGAAGACCTAAATACATGGAAAGACGCCTTGTGTTTATGGATTGGAAGAGGTAATACTGTTAAAATGGAAATACTTTCTTAATGTGGTCTCCAGATTCAATGTAGTCTCAATGGTGGACAGAGCTGGTGTGACCCCTGACAAATGCTGCCTGAGGGCCTGTGATGGTCACTTGGCGCCCCAGAGGTGTGAACTTGTAGAGGCACATGACCTGCCACTTTATCCATGGGATTTTTTTTTTTTTTGAGTTGGAGTCTCACTCCGTCACCCAGACTGGAGTGCAGTGGCCACTCCCGGCCACCGCAGCCTTGACCTGCTGGGCTCCGGTGATCCTTCCGCCTCAGCCTTCCGAGTAGCTGGAACTCCAGGCGTGTGCTACTACGCCTGGCAAATTTTTGATTTATTGTAGAGATGAGGTCTCACCAAGTTGCCCAGGCGGGTCTCGAACACGCGGGCTCAGGCAATCCACTCACCTCAGCCTCCCAAGGCGTGGGATTACAGGCTGAGCCGAGCCCGGCTATGCATGGGATTTTTGGGGCCTTTGATGACCTCTTTCCAGGATGTAGCACTGGGTGTGTGCTGCAGTGCCCCTGACGCTGGGGGAAGCAGGCTCCTCACGTACCCCCTTCCTCTCCCAGGGTAGGCCATGCCCATCCTGGGCCCTTCTCCAGCATGAACCATGTGGGTGGATGCACCGGGGCACAGTGCAGAGATGACCAGAGCCTGGTGACAGCTAAGTGCTCAGGGAGAGTAGAGACGTCCTCATCCCAGTGGGGTGAGCAAGGGTCCAGGCAGAGTCTGGAGAAGGGTCTCCGAGGGTCTCCAGGCAGGGCCAGAGTGGGATTCAGTCAGTGGGAGCCTTACCAGCTGTGGTGTGTGCCAGGGTCTGGAGAAAACACTGTGTGAAGAGGAGCGATGGGCCCTGGACAAAAGGAAGGCAAAGCCCAGACCTAGAGTCAGTGAAGCTTGTGCAAGCCTCACAGCTTCACATCCAAAGTCACAGCCCACCTGGCTAAGACGCCAGCCCTGCACACCCCTACTGGCTCAGCGTGGTGAACCATGGCTGCTGGCTACACACCTTTCACAGAGGAGACCCAGGTCGGTCTACTGCTTCTCCACAGGCCCAGTGGCCACTCTCTGAGGGACCAGATGGCCCACATGGTGCTTCCTACCAGGGGTGGCACAGGGTGCCCCTAAATTCCCACACACAGGCCCCATGTGCATGAAGAGGGCTCGTTTAGGACCACGGGGAAAGAGACCAGGTGAATCACAATCCAGAAAGTCGCAGAATCCCTGCTGAGCGCCTGGGTGTGTGTTGCCACAGTAACCACAAACCACAATCGAGGTTGGGGAGGGAGGCAGGGAGTGACGTTAACCTTGGCAGTCAGGCCCATTCAGCCTGCAAAGGCTGCTGGCTTCACTCTGCTGAGCCTCCACGGATAGTCCTCTCCACTCCTTGACAGAGCACTGGCCAGAGGGCAGGGCCACGACCCACGGACTCCAATCCCTTACAAAGTCGGGGTCTTGGTGGTGTCAGCCCCTCTGCTGTCCGGGTTCCCAAGTTAACTCGGCCACATCCCCCTCAATTCTCACCCCAAAAGGGGATTCAGACTTATAAAAGGTTCATTGACTTGAGTCCTATAAAATTGTATATAGTTGTGTTTTTCTTGAAATCTCTGAAATTTTGGTTTCTCCAAAGGCAAGCAGAGGCAGGCTATTGAGAGTGGGCAGACCTCAGGGTGCAGGCCTTCAGGAAAGCAAAGGCTTCCTCAAGACACCAGACGCTCCAACAGCATGGTCTGAGCTCACGCAGAAGCTTCTCAGGCGCTACTGTTTCCTTGCTATTTCTCCTTAAAAACCTGCAGAGCTGGGAGGGGTCTGGGAGGAAGGTGGCGCCTTCATGCACACCGACAATGAGCTTCTGTGGCTGCGGCCTGTCTGCTGCCCGCGGGACACTGGAGCTGGCCGCCCTGCCCATCTTGGTCCAGCAGAAGTGGCGTGGGTGTTCTGTTCAGAGGGCAGAACAAGGAGGCCAGAAGAGGGAACGCCCGATGCACCACCAGGCGAGGTAGCCAGTCTCTTCCCTTCCAGACCAAGAAGTCCCTGGAGCTCAGGAACTAAGTTTCTGTTGATGGTGATAATTCACGGATGACTCTAGTTTTGGGAATGGGGCCCAAAGATGCCCATTGTGAGCCACGGGAAGAGCTGTGTCTGATGAGGAGGCTTCTGGGCAGAGGAAGAGTGCACAGAAGCCTCTGGATCAGGATTTGGAGGGCACACGGCAGGCCCCTCAGGGCTCTGACAGGCAAGGCTTCTCCTCCACCCACTGGGGTCCCGACATCGGCTTCTTTCATCTCTGGGAAGGTACAAGCCCAGCACATTCCTCTGCTGGCCCTAGGCTAGGCCACAGAGAGCAGCAGGCCTTTGGTGAAGCCCAAAGCAGACACCTCCCACCCACCTCTGAGTCCACTACACCTGCGGCAGGGGTGTGCACACGGAGCCCTGGCCAGCCACGGGGTGGGGAGCTGGGGAGACTGGAGTGTGCCAGTCATGCCAATAACCAAGGAATGCTTCTGGAATCATGGCTCCATGTGGGCACTGCCCCCCAAATGTCAAGACTTTTCTGCATCAGAGGAAGGAGGCCGGGATGGGGGTGTGGATGGTGGTCTCAGCACCAAGAAGAACAGCAAGCTTCCTCGCAGCACCACACCTGGTGAGCTGGGCCTTTCAGTCCACTGAGTCTGCTGGCCAGCACCCCTGAGCCCCAGGCCTCCGGCTCCAGCAGCACCGAGACACCTGGCCCGGCCACGCACGTTTGGAGGCCGCCAAGAGTGCAGCGCAGCAGCTGCTCTATGGCTCCCAGCCCATTTTCCAAAAAGCTAGGCAGCGCTTCAGTCAGTTACAGATGAGGAAATGCATTTGGAGAGTGATATTTAAACCCAGGGGACCAGGGGCCTCCTGGCAGGAGAGGTGAGATAATGACATCCTGCCTCCCTGGTGCCTGGGAGCACAGAAGCACCACCCAGCCCTGGAGGCTGAGTGACACTGAGTCCGCTTGGATCTGAAAATCAAACACTGTCAGAAAGAGCTCTGGATGGAAATTAGACTTTTTTTTTCTTGAATGATACAGGATGTTACTGTACCTGCCTGGAAACGAATTCTTCTGGTGGGTTCAGAACGACTGGAGTGTTGCCAGGTAGCCCTTCTGAGGGTATGGGCGCATCCACGCCTGTATCTGACCTCACTGCATGCTAGCACCAACTGCCTCTTGCACAAGCCACCTGGGTGAATGTCCTGCTAGACACCCCAAAAGCAGGACAACCTTGGTGACGGTGCCACACAGGGCATTGTTCTGGGAAAACTCTGTGGGAGCCTGAGATGGGTGTTCCAGGAGCCTCAAATGACCTGCAGGAGGATGGGGCAGGTGAGACCACTTCTCACAGGTGGCCACACCCTGAGCCTGGCTTCTGCTAATTGCAGCACTAAGGGATTCGGTCTTGATTCAGAAAAGCAAAGATACCACAACTCCCATTCCAAGTGCCTGTGGTTGCAGGCTTGTTCTCATCTGAAGGAGCTTTCAGGGGCTCCTTGAGGTAGCTGCTGTCTACCAAACTGGAGGGACTTCTGCCACCTTTCAGACGGTGAGCCGTCCCGGTTTTTCTGGCTCTTGACTCGGCAGAGGGACTGGGGGACACCTTGCCCTTGTGGCTGTTCCCAATCCCTAGGCCGGTCCACATTCCTGCCAAGTCCACAGCGAATCCCGGGCTTGAGGGAGGAACAGGGTCTACCAACAGGAGCAGATCCTCCCGCCACCCAGTGTCACCTGAAATTAGTGCCTCAGTGATGGTTTTCTACCAGCTGCCTAACATCACTGAGATCACGAAGGAAGCCGAAGCTCAGACCACCCAGAACCCGTGGGGTCTCCGCCAGTAAGGCGGCAGCACAGGAGACACATACAGCTCGGGACACATGGCTTCCCCAGACCAGTCTTCCAGGCACAGACATGGTGGGCAGCTCCCTCCGTCTCACTGCCGTCTGCCCCCTTCCCCGGCTCTCAGCACACAGCCCTGCCCTGGCATCCTGAGCCCTGGCCCCGGCACACTGCCCTGCCCCTGGCATCCTGCCTCACCCCCCAGCCTGCCCACGGCATACCCTCCTCCACCTGCTCCTGGGATATTGACCTGTCCTGGTGCCACCTATGCCGATCGGATCATCCTTGGGTCCCAAGCTGCCTGGTGAGGAAGTGTGACCAGGGTTCCTCCTGGGCTCCCAGGCCCAGGTGGCGGCCGGGCCATGCGTGTAAAAGCGTCCTCAGTACCTGAGCAGGGGCTGCTTGGGATACGGTGGCTGGTCTGCATCCGGGCACGGCGGGGCCTTCTTGGTCACCTGCTTGTAGATGTTCCTGGCGGTCACTCCGATCCACAGCATGGTGGAGAGCGTGGAGTAGTGCAACACGATGCCAACCTGGGAGGGGGAGGGGCATAAGTCAGGCTCCGCCCACCCACAGCCCCACCCACCACAAAGTCCCGGTATGAGACGACTCTTTAGGGAGAGAAATGAGAGCTGAGCGCGGCAGGAGGGGTTCTCATCGCAGCGCAGGCGGCCACCCCACTGGGACCCTGGAGCTCCCAGGGAAACAAACTCCCAGGGAGGCAGACTCCAAGGGAGGCGCAAAGACCCTCGAAATGTTCAGCTTTGCTCCCCTTCTGCAGAGAGGTGGGGGCAGGGAGCCCGTGGGGAACCAGAGGGCTGCGAGCTCACACGCAGGGCCTACGTGCACACACAGGCCTGTGGTCTCTGTGGCTCAGCCAAGAGACCCTGTGAGCCGGAGATGAGCATCTGAGCCCAGGCTCCCGCAGGTGTCCACCAAGGGACAGGAGGGCACAGAGCCACGGCAGGGTCTCTCCAGGGCGCTGCTGTTTGTGGCACTGCACAGAGGGCAAAACACCGACGGGGGTGAGGTGGACGACCTGTCCTGGTGGGTCAGTGGTGCTTATTGCTGAGGAAACGGTCTCGGAGTGTGCATCCTAGACACCTGCTGCATTAGCTAATCACATATTCCGCTCCTTTGCCTTCATCTGATTCTACAAAACGAGGCTACCTTCGGAGTAATAATCCGACATTTTGAAATGACAAGTAAAATACTGCTATAATTGGAAAGGACATAAATGTTTAAGGGATACAGAGAGTCTCTGAATAAAACTAACAATGCGCCGCTATAATGATTTATCAAATCCAGAGTTCCATTGTTACCCATGAGAAAACTCTCTAATAATTGATGCAAATTTTGTGGGATGGGGTGGAAAGATCAGAGGGCTCCGTTTATGGCTTCAGACGAGCTTCCTGCACTTAGCCGGCAGCAGGAGACACGGCACACCTGTGAGAGTCCAGCCTTCTCCTTGGTCTGGCTCTTGTGTGTGGGGGCTTGTGTCCCCTTGAGGTGGTCAGGCCTCACGCCGACTCCTGGAAGCAAAAACTCTCTGCATGGAGGAGGGTGGCCCTTGGCTAGTCTTTCTTTTCAGGAAGCGGTGGAGTGGCTATTATTGTCATATACACGGAAACCGAGACATGATCTTTGGTTTCTGGATGCTGCCACAGGGTGAGGTGAGGAAGGCAGGAAGGAGAACTGCTCTGCTCCTTGTCTGTCCAGGCTGAGCCTTGCCCAGGCCGTGGGCATTTGGGGATTACAAGATGGCGTAAGCAGCAGGACTCTCTCTCTAGACACCAGCTTCAGGCTGGAGAGGCCACAGGGATGCCACCCAGCATCCAGACAGTACTGCTCTGCCAGGAGAGGAGGTGGTAAGCCACCTGCCGGACCCTTGCTTCCGGACCGGGGGCTAGCGCCTCGGCACCCTGATTATGTGGGACCCGCGACAGCCGTCTGTTTCTGTTTACGATGTCAGCACTTTAATGAGGTTCGCGGGCATCTCTTTGTTGCCATAACAACCGCCTGTTCTCTCCAGCCATCCGGAGTGTTGGACCACGTCTCGCTCAGTGCCGAGCTGTGCCACTCAGACAGAAGGTGGGCCCTAGGAGTATGGCGCTCGTGCCATTTGCTGAGGTGCAAGCGAGGCTGGCTTCCAATGGTCCAGTTTTTGACCGACCTCTTTCCCTCCCCCTAGGTCTCTTTCCTTCAGCAGGCGATGCGGAGCCAGCCTGGCCTCTGGTCTACAGAGGCCGCAGGCACAGTAATGGACCCTCTGGTCACGCCTACGAGGTATCACAGAGTCAAACGCATGCATGGGCAGGAGCAGGGAGACTGCCACCTTGCGGGCTTCTTGGTTCCCTAGAGCTAGCTGTAGCCCACTGCACCATGCTGGCCTTGGCTTCCCTGAGCCCTGGCTTTATTCTTCTCTCTAGCACCTCCTATCTCCTGGTGTACCCCATGGTTTATTTTCTGCATTTGCTGGGTGTCCATCCCTCCCCATGCTAATGGGGGCTCCACAGTGAGACCGTGTGGGTTTGTTTGTGGCTGCGTCCCACACCCAGAGCCTGGCCTTGCCCCAGCAGGTCCTGGACATGTGTTTGCTGAATGAATGAATGAATGAATGGAAGAGTGAACGATGCCCTTTGGAAAATGTAATCAGGAGACCAAGGTAGCATCTGGAAAGAGGCCATAATCCTTCCTAGTCCAGAGCAAAGAGCCTGTTTTCTCCTGAGGGTTGTCACGATGAGAGAGTAGAACCGTTCTCACCTTGGTCTCCTCTGAGATCTCACATCCCCAGAACATTCCAGGCCTGCCCCTGCCCATACCCACCAAATGTCTCTGGTGCTGCCCCAGGCTGTCACCGGCAGACTCTCAGCCTGCATGGCCCTGCTGGGTGGGCCTGAGAAAACGGGGACAGTTCTCAGGCTTTCCTGAAGTGGTGGGAGGGGTTTCTGGAGGCCCTGAGAGGGGAGCCCACCATGTTCTGGTGGGCTGTGTTCCATCACGTGGAGCTGGTGGCAAAGAGCAGACAAACGAGGCTCACAGTCCACCTCACTGCCCCTCAGATGACCCCTGGATAGGGGCTCACAGGCAGGACGTAAATGGGTTATCCTAGGGGCTGCCGTGGCTTCCAGCTGGCGGAGAGTTAGGGAAGCGTGTCCACCCTCAGCCTCCTTCAAAGTGCAGGAGACTTTTCTGCAGGGCCACGCTAGGCCCAGGCTCAGGTGATAGGTGCAGCTTCCCGTATCTGGTCTTGCCGTGCATTCACATGTGTGACATTTCCTCTGTAGACAGGACTCTCTGGTAGGCCAGCAGCAGCAGCTGTGTCCTCCAGTGCATGTGCACCCAACTCAGTCCACCCTTGGCCGCACGTCTCAAGTTCCACCAGGGCAGGGAAGAAAGGAAGCACAGCAGCTGCTGGTGGGCGGGCGTGGAGAGCCTGTGGGGGAGGAGGGTGTGGAAGCCTGTGCATGCAGTCGGGATTTTCCACCCCAGGGGGCATCTCTGCCGTCTCTGCAGGTTCCCAGGCCATCAGTGTAGACCTGCTGTCTTGCAAGGCACAGAAGCCTCAAGGGGTGGGGGTAGTTCCTGTAAGTTGCCCTGTGGAACACAGGAGGATGCCTCACCTGGCTGTGTCTGGACCTTGGAGGTGATGGCCCCTGGGCGCTGGGCTGGGGGACTGGGTAGGGCAGGGGGAGGGGGGAAGGGCAGGAGCCCCCTAGAGCTGCAGCTGCTGAGCATCTGGAAACTCATCTTCTTGGCCCTGAGCCACACCCCAAAGGTGATGAGGACTGCACTGAGGTTTCTTTTTTTTTTGGGGGGGGCCGGAGTCTCACTCTGTATCCCAGGCTGACTGGAGTGCGGCGGCACGCTCACAGCCACCGCAGCGTGACTCACTGGGTTCAGGCGATCCTTCTGTGTGTGCCACCATGCCCAGCTCATTTTTTGATTTATTGTAGTGATGAGGTCTAGCCACGTTGCCCAGGCTGGTCTCGAACCCCTGGGCTCAGGCAATCCTCTCCCCAGGTGCTAGGACTAAAGGTGTGGGCCACCACATCCGGCTCTGCACTGAAGTCTCACTCTGTCGCCCAGACTGGAGTGCAGTGGCCGCTCCCGGCCACCGCAGCCTCGACCTGCTGGGCTCCGGCGATCCTTCCGCCTCAGCCTTCCGAGTAGCCAGAATTACAGGCATGCGCTACCACGCCCGGCTGATTTTTTTGTTTATTGTAGAGATGAGGTCTTGCCACCCAGGCGGGTCTCGAACCCACGGGGTCAGGCAATCCACTCACCTCAGCCTCCCAAAGGCGCGGGATTACAGGTTGAGCCACTGAGCCCGGCTTGCACTGAGTTTTGATGGAAGGGTCTCTACCGTGAGCGCTGCTGGGAGCACAGTGTGATTTATACTCCCCCCCTCTTTTAAGCCAGTCAGGCCAGGCCCCAAGGTGTGTGAGTAAGACCGCTTTTGTGCTTGAGTTTGCTCTTTTCCATGCTTGGGTGCTTTGAGGCTTCACCTCCCTGTGAGGGGAAGTAGGACTGTCCCATGAATCTCTGCTCATGTGGGGCCGGCTGTCTGCTGCAGCCTGAATGACCTAGTAACCCACGGGTTTCAGAGCGTTTCCCCCAGATCACTCGGTCACTCGATGAGGCAGCAGCCTCTGCAGGTTCTTACCTGGACAGGGAGAACTTCCCAAGCCCTGCCCCCTAGTCTCTCAGGGAGAGGCAGGCTGTCTCCCTGTTCCCAGGAAGAGCACCTTTTGTGGAACAGTGAATGTCTAGTTAGCAAGTCGCCATAGACCTTGGAGCGAGCTTATTATTTCATATGATCCAATTATTTCATATGATCAGATGATCAAAACCATTGGATTCACACCGAGTGAAACTCATACAAACTCAGTCCTAGCTGTGCCCTTCACAAGAAACAGCTGTACATACTAGAATGATCTCATAACCAAGACAGTGTCACAAGTTTCCCTTTGGTGGGGAGTAGATAAACCCACTGTCACTTCTGCAGCGCAAGGATGCCGCGACAGCACTCACCGCCTGGCACAGAATTGGGTACTTGGTGCGATTGATGCCGCCAGCGAACACCGTGAAGGTCAGAGCCGCGTGGAAGCAGAAGTTGAGAAGCGTGTGCCGGCCTTTCCGGCTGATCCGGATGGCGCTGAGGGAAATGGGAGTTCATGTTAGCACTGGCGTTTCAGGGACAAGCAGAGCAACGAGCCCTCTGTGAGAATGCTGCTCTGTCCTCCCTGGGAGCTCGGGGCTGTCAGTGAGGCCAGGGCCAATGGCCCCAGGTCAGGGCAGAGACAGACAGGCTGTGCTGATCCACCCTTAGTGGGTTGCCACAGGACAGTTCTGTGTTAAATCACCTGAGAATGCTATGGCTGGAAGGGCTTTTGCCGACTCTTGAACAAGCTTGATCTTTGGACACATGATTTATGGCCCTGAGACTGTAGGAGTTGTCCACAGTCTGAGGTAGAAGTCATGCCTCTGGGGCTTGGGACCATGCCTTCCCTCTGAGAAGAGGTCTGATATCTCAGGAAGAGGCCATGGCTAGGCTGTGAATAAGCCTGACCCCAAGGTAGCACTGCCTGTGGCTGCAACCCTCTCCATTATCATCAACATGTCTGAGACTCTGTTCCCAGCCTCACCCCGCCCCCATCTGTGGCCAGCATGGATATTGCTGAGCTTATGACTACTACTGTGACTCTGGTCATGACCTTCACTGTAACCTTGGACATTCCCAGGCCTCTGATCTGAATGTTTGTATCCTCCCAGATTCGTATGTTGAAACTTAATCACCAGTGTGATGATATTAGGATGTGGGGCCTTGGGGCAGAGCTCTGCTGGAGAGTCAGTGCTCTTATAAGAGAGGTCCCAAAGGGCTGCCTCGCCCCTTTCACCATACAAGGACACAGGGAGAAGGTGCTGTCTATGAATCAAGAAGCCAGCCCTCATTAGACACTGAATCTGCCGGTGCCGTCATCTTGGACTTCCAGCTTCCAAAACTGTGAGAAACCCATTTCTACTGTTTATAAGCTGCCATGTCTGTGGTATTCTGTTACGGCAGCCCAAACAGACCAAGATAATAGTTTTGGACCTGCCCAAGCCTCTTCCAATGATCACATCCCTGAGTGTGCCCAAGCGTCTAGCTACGACTGTGGCCTTGAACACATGCAAGTTCTGCCCGTGACCATGGCCTCAAGCACACTCAAGCCTCTACTTATCACCCAGGCTCTGCCTGTCATCAAGGCCTCAGGTGAACCTGAGCTTCTCATCATGCCCTTAGCCTCAGACGCTCCCAAACCCCTGCACATGACTGGTGGTGGGCTGGCCCTTGACCATGACTGGGACACACTTCTAGAGCCTCTACAAGGTTCTGCAGCACCCTCTAACTTCCCAAGGGAGCGAAGGTCGCCAAGGGCCTGGACTGACGTTGCACCCACTCCAGGAAGAACTTACTTCACCCAGTTAAGAACGTGGAGGCGGTGGTGGAGCAGACCCTGATCGAGGCTGGAGTGGAGGGCAAGACTTTCCCTGTATACCCACCCACTCTCTAGCCGCGTGAGGGCACCAGCTGGCAATGTGGGGTGTGCCTCGAGGGACTTCTCGCTGTGTGCGTGGTGGTGAGCTTTCACTTCAGGGATTTGCGTTTGAAGGCAAAGCAGATGTCTTGGGACAAAGCGTAGGTGCCTTCTCGGCACCAGGCTTACCTTTGGTGCACAATGTAGGTGACCACGGAGGCCAGGAGGCACAGCAGCATGACTGCGGTGCAGGCATACACCACAGGGTGCAGGAACTCCCCCGGGTACTGGGGCAGGGAGAGGACCGTCTTCAGATCCTGGAAGGAAAACAGAGGAGACCCGTGTGACCGACGCAGCCAGAATCTGTGCACACAGAGGAATCACCGGGGTTTCCCCTCCCAGGCTCAGCCTTCTCCGCCATGGCTCCAGGCATTTTCTGGTTTGAGTTGCGATTCCCTAGGCCTCACAGAAAAAGACACTGTGCCTTGGGGCAGGGGGCCGGCTGGCGTCTGCGGGAAGTCCCACTTCGGGAGTGGTTGCACAAGAGAAGCCGCTCTGCCAAGAGCCACTGTGTGGCCTGTCTTCCACCTCCACCCTGTCTGCTCGGCTGCTCTGAAAGCCAGTTCCCAGGGGTGGTGTTTCCACTGCGCCCCACCTCTGCCTCCAGCTTCCTTTCCATTCCTCCTCATGGTGGAGGGTGGGGCCACTGCCGGCCTTCTGTCTAATGCGTGGTCTAGTGACGTGTCTGACGGCGCCTGGCCTGCCGGTGGGATCTGGATGGACCTTCCAGAGAGAAGCAAAACATACCGGATGACCCCAGTTCCCCTTCTGAACCTCAAAACCATCAAAATTCTTTTAAATCTCTCTCAGGAGAATTTCTTCTCGAGTTTCAGCAAGTCCATGTAGCCTGGACACAAGTCCATGGAGAAAGAGCAGAAGTAATCATGAACTGACAGACCCGGGCCTGGGACCTATTTCGGATGTCACTGACTCCAGTGGACATCACAGTCCAAGCGAAGGGCTCGAGGTCAGAGTTCAAAGGAACACACATTCTCTGTGGTAAACTGAGGGAGGAGTGTCCGCAGGTGGAAATGTTTGGAACTGAGGGAAGCTTGGCATTTTTCCTCGTCAGATGAATGAGGTGAGATGAGCACAGAAAACAGGCCATGTGAGGACACAAAAAGCACGGCCGTCGGCAAGGCAAGGAGAGAGCCCTTAGGGAACCACCCTGCCCACACCTTGGTTTTGGACTCCCAGCCTCCGGGGTGTGGGCAACACAGTTCTGTACTTGAAGGCCCTCATCTGTGGTATTTTGTTGTGAACCACAGGCAGACGAATACCCTGTGAGTGGTACTGTCATCCCCATTAGAACTCCGTGGGGTGGGTGCTGTTTGCTCCACTTTTCAGGGTAACGGGTACAGTCACTGCTCTGCTCCATGTCCCCTGGGGAGGGTCCTGGCGGGTGGCAGGCCAGAGGCTGGTGCTTGCTGTGACCTGACGCGGCCTGAGAAGCCAAGAGCCCTGCAAAGGCGGTGCCCGCAGAGAGTGCCTGATCCCCTGTGAGTGCCTCCAGCCGTGAGGACAGGGCCAGCAGGGGAGCTGGGAGGCCACAGTCGTACTGGCCCAATTCCCCTGACCCCCAGGGGTACCCTGGGCCGATGTACCTGCACGAGCTCGAGCGGCTCTGGAGGTGTGATGGGCACTTCCCTGGGCAGTCAGAACCACAGGAAGCAGCCAAGATGGTGCCTCCAGGATGGCTACGGGCTGATTAAGGTGGGAAACAGAGAGAAACTCTGTGCGGGAGGTGGCTTCATCTGTGTTGGGAAAGCAGAGTCAGCAAGTGCAAAAGCTCTCCCTGCTTCCACTCCCGACACACCTTTTCTCGTCAGTCCAGCCAAGTTGAGGCCCTGGCTGGCCAGGGAGTATCCACCAAGCTCAGAGGGGCTCCAGGGAGCCGAGGGTCTGGCTGGCTGACGATCGAAGCCAGAAATAGGGACCCTTCACCAGGTGCTGAGGGCAGGGGAGTAGTAGTCTTCAGTCTGGCAGCACTCACGGCCAGGCAGCCTGAGGGGCAGGTGTGGACGAGGGCAGAGCGTGAACTACGGCACTCATCCAGCAACTTGGGGTTCAGGACTCACACTGCTCACACAGCTCGTGTTCCATGAGATCAAGAGCTCAGGATGAAAGATGCCAGAGAGCCGGGCTCGGTGGCTCAGCCTGTCATCCCACGCTTTGGGAGGCCGAGGTGAGTGGAGTGCCTGAGTCCGCGGGTTCGAGACCTGCCCGGGCAACTTGGTGAGACCTCAATTCTACAATAAATCAAAAATCAGCCGGGTGTGGTAGCGCGCACCTGTAGGTCCAGCTACTCAGAAGGCTGAGGTGGAAGGATCGCCGGAGCCCAGCAGGGCAAGGCAGCGGTGGCTGGCAGCGGCCACTGCACTCGTCTGGGCAACAGAGTGAGACTCCAACTCAAAAAAAAAAAAAGAAAGATGCCAGAGACACCCAGCTCCCCCTGCAGAAGCAAAGCCCTGGGGTCCCGCCCGCCCCAGCCTGACAGGGACTGTCGCCCACACTTGCCCCAGGTTCTGAGGGAGGATCTGTGGCCCCACCTCCTCCCCCTTTGGAAGCCTCCTTCTGAGGCACAGTTGCAGGTGTGAGCCTTGCTGGCTAGAGGTGACCTGTTGGGCCCTCCATCCTGTCACAATGAGCCTTTGCCTGTGTGAGGTCAAAGGTCCCTGTGGGAGAAGAAAAGCTGGCTGATCAGAGAGAGAGCCGACTGGCGCTCACAGCAGAACATTTAATCCCCTGGCAGCTCATTTGGAGGCTACCCCTCTCTTCCTAGATGGGTGCCTGAGACAGGCATCCCATGGCTCAGGCTCAATTCTCTTGACAGATGACCCTGATGGTTTTCAGGAAGGCAAGGGGCCCCTCTGCAAAGAGTGGAGCTGGAAGAGCCTCTGCCCAGATGCTTCCGAGTGTCTCAAAGCCCCAAAGCATCAGACATCTCCCTCAACAGGGTGGGGTCTAGGGGTCCCAGCTCCGACTGGGGGGGGGGCCCAGTCCAGAAAGCAGCCCCCATGGTCACCTGCACTATCTGGGGAAGCTCTCATACATCTCTCCTTGGTGCTCCTGACTTCTGGAGTGTTTGTGATCGGGTATGTGGGGGTGGGATCCTTGCATGGCTCCTGGGCGATTCAAGGCTGGTGACTCCATGTGTGCACGGCTCAGCAGGCACCAGTGTCCTGACAAAAGCACCCAACTCCGGAAGTCAGGGAAAAGCAAGTTTCTCGGCCAGATCCAGATATCAAGTGAGTTCTCTGAGGCTGAGCGGTGGAGAATGTCCCGGGAGCTCAGGAAAGGAAGGTTTAATTGAGCACAAGCAATATCCCAGCTTCTTGCCCACAGGATTCTTTTGTGAGAGTAATGATTTTTCCCTCTACAGCGTTGACCCGGGGTCTAAAATAAACCCGAATGCTCCTTAATGTAATGCCCACGTGGCCAGTGTCAGTTGTTTTAAATCCAGATATATGAGAGGAGCCAAGTGTGGTCCATTCCCCGAGTCCGGTTCTTTCCCAATTCCATCAGGATCCGTTTCCTCCATGGGTCGCCTGGAACAAGGACTTTGTGCCAGCTGTGTGGAAGAGTCTAGGGTGGGCCTGCCCCTGGACCCTTGGGAGTCCCCTCATAGCCTTTCTTGGGGGCTGCCGTCACCGGGGAGTGCTGGGGTCAGACTCTCATTCTGCTGTCCGGGCGGGGGTGGGGATGGCAGGTGGGGGCTCAGCTCTAGCATCAGAAAGCAGCTGCCTCAGTGACACCCCGAAGTCCTGTGTCCACACGCTGCATCCTGTCCCAAGACATTCGTCTCCAGAGCCAGTATACGAGGCTTACATTTAAATGTATCTTACTTGTGGTTTTTATTCACCTGCACAAAACCCCTTGACGTTACGCCCACTCAGAAGTGTTTCTCCATGTGGCAGCAAACGTCTCAGGGAGCCAGCTCAAGACACGGAGGTGTGTTCCGAGAATGTCATCCAAGCCAGGGTTCTGCAGTCTGGGGGCCACTCTGTCTTGCTTCTCGGGCAAGGGCCAAGTCTTGCGGCTTCAGACTGAGCTGGTAAGGGAGACAGCGACCACTGGAGCAGCCACGTGAGCCCAAGAGCCAGCAGCCACGGGCATCACTGCACAAGGACAGGCTTCTGTGACTGGGGACAAAATGATCTCTGGGTCAAGAATGTGTGTTATAAGAAGCAGGGATTCCATTTGTTCTGGTTTCTTTTCTTTTTTTCTTTCTCCAAATTAGAGTTATCAACAGTGCCTTTCTACATTTTTAGAGGTGACATTTAAAATTCAAAGTAGGTAATGCAAAACAGAGATATATTTTATACTTTAAAGTTCACACATTTCTGAGTTCCTCTTTGCAAACGTTCTGCGGTCAGAGTCATTAGGATACTCTGATACGTGGTGGGACAGAATCTGACGGACGAGGGCAGAAAAGACCCTGAGGCGGTGAAAACAGGGTCTCCCTGGACCTGCCACTGAACAGAGATGTCCCAGAGGGCTGGAGGAAACTGCCTGGAGAACTCAGGGTGGAAGAGGGGGAGGATGAAGGTAGCCCCGGGACCCATGCCCGGCCTTCTTGGCCCAGACAAAAGGATGACCTTGATGGCTCTAGAAGCCATACCGAGATTGTCTCTGCATCCCTGGGAAAGCCAGGCTTCTCTCTTCCCCTCGGCTGCCCTCTGTGCCAACAGTCCACGGACAGGTGAGCCCTGACTTGTGAAACACACGTGCTCTGGTTTAGTCCTGTTTCCCCTTTTCTCGAGTCAAGATTTCCTTTTACATATTAGTGTTATCTTAGTTGAATGCATCCTTTTTGGTGTGTTCTGCAAATCCAGCGGGTCGGAGCATTAAGAAGGACGAGAAGAAAGGAGAAAAGATGGGAAGAGAGGCCAAATTAAGTTAAGTGTGGATTGTCTGGTCAACACGTAACCTTCTTGTAACAGTAAGATGTGGACAAGTGACTTCTTCAAGCCCGGGAGATGCACACTGTCTAAGGCATGTGCTTTCCTACTGGGGAGGCATCCGGCCAGGCCTGCAGGCCACATCTGGTGAAGAGGTGACCGGTCTTATCGAAGGTTCCTCTTCTTCCAGGTTCTTGCTCTTCTTTCTGCTACTCCTCATTCTTCTTCCTGGCTCATTTTCTTGCTCCTTTTTTTTCCCCCTTCTTCCTGGTTCTGTGCCAACCAAGACTGATTTCATTAGAGCTTGATGAATTCCCTTGTCTGCCTTTTAAATAATAATTGCATCTACTGCTCTGACGACCTTTCATGAATGTGTCCTGGGGAAAAGCAGAAGGCAGAAGAGAAGTAATCTCTTCACTTGGGACACACACTATCCTTATTAGGAGTTACACTTATATGGTGTGTTACGGCTTTCTTTTGGAAGGGGTATGTAAGCTAGTACAATTATGAAGGGATCCGGAGAAAAATATGTTAAAAAATATTGTAGGGACTTTCCTTCTAGACTGGTTGTTAGTTGCTTAAAGCTCTTACTTTTAGGGGGAAATGTTAGGTGGGCTGACAAACTCTCCATCTGTGAGATGAAGGTAGGAGAGTTCAGCAGCTTTCAGTAATTTAGGCATTGGGCTGAATAAAAAGCAGCAAACTGAAAGGAATGCATGAAAGTTCTGAAATGTCCGTAAACATGACAGACTACTTTTATGTGCCTGTCAGAAGAGGTGCGTCTCAGGCCACTTCTTGCTTCCTGAACTCCATTTCCTGACAGGGGCTGCGAGGTGAATTTGGAGTAGAGACAACCACCCCTCCACGTGGTTTCACTTACTTTCCCATGACCAGGGCTATGAATGTCCCATGATGCATTTTGAGCCCAGGTCCTGATTCTGGCTCTTTCCAGGGCTCACCTCCCATCAGTGCCGCCTCTCAGAATCACCTGTGAGTTCTCTCTCTTGGCATTCCTGACTCCCCTTCCGGGCCCTCCATGAGCTTGGCATTTTGGGCTTCTCTGCTTCTCACGGAGGTGCAGCACCAGAGCTGTGGTCTCTGCCCTTCATCTACCTGCCTATTCTCCTTGGAGTTTTGGTCCCATCAAATGTTTTCAGGATGCAAGGCACTTATGGGAGGAAAAGAAAATATTGGGCCCAAGGGTGTTCCAAACCTGCCATGCCTTTGGAATCCTCCACTCAGCAGGGGCTGGGTCAGGCCTGGCCCCTCGCTCCGTCGTGGCTTGGGACTTGTGCAACACTTGGCAAAAGACTCTTCCAATGACACCAAGGTCAGCCCAAATTTAGAGCGAGCACTGGGTGGGAAGGAGCCCTCCTGAGTTCTCTGTGACAGCCTCCAAACCCCACTGCTGCTGTTGGTAGTTCAGCGAAGGGCCCACCAAAGAATAGCCACTAAAACCAGGTCCGTGTGCCCCCAGCACTGGGCCTGAACACTAAGGGAGACTGAGTCAACCCTCACAGGCACTCAAGTCTTGCAATTATGAAAAGTAAGTAGTATCAGGAAGCCACATCACCCCATAGCACTCCAGGCTCTACACACCACACCATGCTCTACACACCATACCATGCCACGCCATGCTATACCATACGTCATGCTATACCATGCCACAACACGCTGTACCACTCCATGCCATACTATCCTACACCATGCCGTGCTGTGTCACACCTCACTATGCCACGCTGTACCATGCCATACCCGATTATACCACATAACGCCACACTATACCACACCACACCATACTATACCCCAGAGGTTCCCAACCTTTTTGGCATTAGGAACCAGTTTTGTGGAAAACAATTTTTCCACAGACGGGTGGGAGGGCAGTCTTGAAGTGCAACCTTCGCTACCCTATTAGTCTGTGTCTGCAGCCACTCCCTAGGGCTGGCATCAGCACCCCAGCTCCACCTCAGACCATCAGGCATTCGATTCTCATAAGGAGCAGCCTGGATCCCTCGCATGCACAGTTCACAGTAGAGTTCACGTTCCTATGAGAATCTAGGAACACAGCTGCTGATGGGACAGCAGGCGGAGCCCAGGGAATCATGTGCGCCCTGGGGAGTGGCTCTCAGTACAGACACAGCGTGGCTCATGTGCCCGCTGTTCACCTCCTGCTGTGTGGTCCAGCTCCTAACAGGCCATGGACCGGCACCTGTTGGCACCAGGGGTAGGAGACTCTTGCTAAACCACACCACACTATACTACACCACCCTATACTACACCGCACATACTAGAGCACACCATGCCACATGGTATCGCACGCTACACCTCACTATACCTAACTACACCAAGCCATGCCACATTATACCACACCATACTATACTACACTGTACCATGCCATATTGTACCATGCCGCACCCTGCTATAGCAGACCATGCCATATTATATCACACCATGCCACACGATATCATGCGAGAGGCTATAATGTGCTATACCATGCCAGGCTCTACCACAAGACACAATACTATACCACACCACAGCACACGATGTCACGCCACACCATATCACACTGTGCTATACCACACCACATACGATACCAAACCACACAAGACCATGCCGCGCCACGTCATGCCACGTCTTGTCAGTCACACCCATCACGCCCTATTTAATTTACGACCCATGGACAGTGTTGCTGGGAAAACCAGGCCCTGTGCCAAAGGAAAGGCGTCTCAGTCAAACCACTAGACTTGGATGCTCCAACGGAAACGGAAGTAGGGAAAGCACAAAGATCCGGACAGTTTCCACTCGAATTCCAAACACAGAAGAACTGTGCTCCAAGTTAAGTGCAAGATTGCAAATTGGGCGGTGCAAAGTCACATGGGATTCTGGCCTGCCTGAATGTAAATATGAACAGTCAGGCAAGTTCCCTGTTGCGTGTGTGTTCTGCAGTGGTGGTGAAGATACCCTTGGGGGGATATCCCTCGGCTTTAAAAAACTGAAGCATGGCCTGCAGGATACGGACACTCCAAAGGGGAGCAAACTACCCACCTCCCAGAGCAGACCACGAGGCAAACGAGAAGCATGTTCAGGGAGAAGCAGGGACCTAGCCAGCTTGCTGGAAAAAGGCTCAGAAATCAGCCCTGTTTCACACTGTCCTTTGTAGCTGGTAGAGCTGCCACCGGAAGATACCGACTTGTGTCAGTATCTTGCTTGTACCTCTGGGCCACTAGGGATCCTGCCCCGTGAACTTGAAGACATGCAGAAAAGTGCTGGCACCAGATTTATGTCGCTCAGAGGGCAACCCCACACATTTCCAGTTCCTTTCAGAGATTCTCTTAGGTGTCAGCCTGTAATCCCGCGCCTTTGGGAGGCTGAGGTGAGTGGATTGCCTGAGCCCG